CAGAGAAATTAGTTTAGCAAAAGACATCTATAAAATCAAAGGAAAGAAACTAGAACCATTGAGTCCAGAAATTACATTTTTTAAGGACTTGAAAACAGTCATGAGTCAAATTTGAAAGGAAAGGGATCAATAAGACTTAAATGAATTTTCAAATTCATATTTCTTTCTAAAATATTTTAAAATCAAACAACAGTTTCTTTCAACGTTCTCTAGAGCCTCATCAAACCCAACATCTCTCTCCCTGCTGAAGATGTTTTCTTGCTATTGGATGACTTTTCCGACATCAAATTCATTCTTGATTTCTTTGACTCAAATCAAAATTTTGTAATATTTCCAAAATCTGATTAATTGATTAATGCATATCTCTAAATCATGAAGACTTTGTTTGACTCCCTGGTATCCATTAGTCATGAGCTCTTTGAAGATGATTTGATTCTTCAAATCCTAAGCGGTCTTCTCTTTGGCCATGAAAATGTTGTATCAATCTAAGATCCCCGTATACTACTACCCTCATTAGTAGAAGTTTAAGCTGCATGTATCTTCAAGAAGTTTGATTTGGGTGACATTAGAAAATATTTTTCTTAATAACAAATTCTTCTGTGTTTGTTGCCACTGAAATTTCTCAAAACCTCCTCAGACCATAAACTAACTTCTCAAATCAGTTATGGGTAATTTCTTTCACATAAACAGGGGGTATGGTCTATCACTTGTCACGTGTCACTATTAACCTATCAATCGGTCGGCAGGCTCTTATCAATAATACTGACATGCAATTCTTGGTCCCCCTCCTGAAACCCAGCATTCAATTCGTTTTTTTCCGTGTTCTAAATCTAAATTTATTCAAGATTTGACGACAATGCTTAAAAATGTCATTCACTATCGTCAAAGCCCTGGACCCGAACTAACTCAACTCAAAGGTCGCTCACTTCTCTTCAACTCCAAGAGCCCCATAAAACATTATGGCTGCTTGATAATGAGGCTGCCTCTTATATGATAGCTACAATATAAGATATATTTGCTAATAATACTGTTGAATTATTCATGAAATTATAAGCAAAAAAAAAAAAAAATTTGATTTTTGTCTCTGGTTGCATTCGCTACATTCATGGTGATCCACCATGTGTTGACCCCTTTCTTCAAATTCTGCAAACTCTAAATATGTCCGCCGCTCTAAAAATAAGTACAAATGTCCAAATTATGCGGACCCGAACCTCCTTTATCAATATATGTTTGAAGATTTTGCAATGGAGACCATCAAACATAAAGATTAACAAATGGCTGATGAAGTTTAGATTCAGATCAATGAAAACTAGGACAAACAAATTTACTATCATTCAGACTAGAGAAGTTAGAAATTTTTAACTGTGTGGAAAGTGAAAAAAATTTCTCTGACGTGACATCAACACGAATACCACATCTAAGTTTAGAAAATAATCAGACATAAACACTAATATAATTATACACCTTAGCACTTGGGTATATCTTTTAAAGTAAAAGCTTGCTTGTGGTAAGGCTGATTGTAAAAAATATTTGAAAATATAGTTTCAAATTGGACACAAATTTTGCAGGACTAAGTAATAAGATTTTGAAATTTTGCAAGAAGTTCATGTGTGTGTGTGTGTGTGTGTATATATCAAACTCTATCAAATTATTCACTCAAAACAAAATTCTATCAGAATAAGACAATAGAAATTCAATGAAACATTAAAAAATCAAATGCAGGAGATAATCCTGAGTTTTCCGAAGAGTAATAAAAAGGTTTTGCATAGTTGCAATAAGAGGCAGAGCCACAGCTAGAGAGTCATTCCACTCAAATGAATAAGAAAAGAAATAACATTTTAGAACCATGCTTCCAATCTGCTCCTGGAGTGTTTGATTATTGTATTGACAACATATCTTACAAAAACGACATAAACAAGATTCCTTCAAGGAGACAAAACATGACCTACTTATACACTGGTCATATACACTTTAGTAAGCGAGTTATGCAGACACATTACAAATTCTGAAGCACCACAAAAACTAAAAAGCCAAATAAATTGACTCCTAATGGATTTGGAGTTCTATCTATTTGTTGAAAGAAAATTCTGCACAAACCCATGGAAAATGACAACAGAGAAACAGGAGAATGCAACCAAAATCCACTTTCGATACTGAATCATTTTTTTCTGATGCAGGTCCAATTGACACTATTGGCACATCTTTTAATTCTTTGTAAAATCCCAGAAAGAATTAATGAATGAAATTAAGAACTGAAATCTTTGCAGATTCTGAGTCGCCCTAAAACAGTTTGACTTGTGCTTCACCAGTTTCTGAGGACCTGCAACAACATAGACGCTAACTCGAATATGTCTTCACTGTCAAACTTCATACAAAGGTCAATCAGAGTTGAATCATAGAAGTCACTCGGGCAAGGGGTCATGACCTCAGATTCAAGTAATTGAACTACCCTGTGCATGGTGGGTCGATCTTCTGGACTGGAAGAGACACACTGGATGGCAACCGAGAGCAGCCCATCAAGACTTTCTGCTTGCACCCCTTCACAGTTTGGATCAACAATATCTCGTTGCCTATTCTCATTAATTAAGAAATTTAACTGCAAATGGAAACCAGGTCATTTAAACAAAATACATTGATCAATAAGGCAAACTATGTGCAAATAAACGTTTGGACATTTTGTCCATTGCTGCCTGACTGTTTCAGTGCTGCAGTACAATCAGTACGATATACCACTTCACTGGGTTTCCAGCACTAAACCCAATTTCAATAGTTAGAAGGAAACTTCACTTTGCAAAGCATTGCAATGTGAGGTTCAAAATCAAATATCACCCTATCAATCCCTTTGTTTTCCTAAGAGAGGGATTGATCCATGATCTGCCCGGGTTTTGGCTTGTCCCCCTTCCTTTTCCCTCCCCCACCACCCAAAAAAAAATAAAAAATCATAATGTTGCAACACAAGCTCTCCTGACATCAAGATAAAAAATATTACTGGCATTTTTATGAACTCTGCAGGTAACTTTCAGGCCGAGTTTGGTTCAAATTTCAAATCTAAATACTATATCTGGAAGTACAATATAAATGAGTAAAAATTTGAATGAAAATAAAATTTTACTTCTAATCTATTCCTAGCAATTCAATTTAGGAATTTTAGAAATTCTTCCTTGTGCAAGTGAAAATATAAATTTCTCATTGTGAAATAATGAATATGAATGGAGTGAAATTAATTATGAACTAAATATGTAAATTATAGCTAAATTATACATATCAAATTATTAAATATTTATAAATAGGATGAGAGTGGGACAGATTTAAACCAAATCCAAAGTTGACGGCATTGTTCAAAATGAATTGAAGAGTGGAGCAAGAACAAAGCACGAAATATAGAGCAGAAGAAGAAACTACACAATAGTATATCCCCGGAGGGACAAGAAACCATGACAAGAATGAACTGGGTAAAATTTGAGTTCCCTGCAATTCTAGACTTGTAAAAAATTAAATGCAGCAGTGTGCTCTTAACTTAATTAAACAATGCTTCATTCTAACTATATCTTTTAAATAAATTAATTCTTATATTTTGTACAATGCCTGGAAGAAAAAAATAAAGATGCAACAATAAACATGAGGATGTACATACCCAGCCAACAATGTTAAGACCCTTCTCAATGAAAGATGCATCAGTTGGGCGTTTTCCGCTTAACACTTCAAGCATCAGGACCCCAAAGCTATAAACATCAGTCTTTTCAGTTGCTCTACCACTTTGCATATACTCTGCCAAGTAAATCAAAACCAGGTTCAGTCCAGATTATTTCAAAAAGTTTATAACAGGAGATTAGAAATAACTCTGTAGTTTTAGATACGAATGTTGGGAGCACAAGAGTAGACAACCTCCAGTTTAGATATGAATGTTAGAAGGCACAAACAATAGATTGGGCATTCGATGCATGTTAGCAGCACCTAGGTAGCATGCTGCTGACAGGGTGGAATAGGAAATGTGCAAGCTCAATACATGTTGCTTTTATAGTGTTGCCTGAGTGTTGAAGGGCATGGATGCAACACATTTATTATATATATAAATTATATACAATACTATATAATTACTTAATATGTAATACATTTTTTTTTTCAAATAAAAAGAATAATCAATATATAATATCTACAGCAACATGGGGGTACAACTCATTTATAAAATATTTACAATTTTTATAGTCTTTCAATAACAAATATAAAGTTATCCAAAAAAATAAGGTC